GTACTGCCAACTATATGGTGCCCGAGTTGAAGTCTTATAGTCCTGGCCGCGAAGAATTTCGTGGGATTGTTCTGATGTCAGACAAGTGAGATCTGATTACAGCTCTTGATGGAAATAGCACTACAGTTCGAGACAGAAGAAAAGTCACAAACTCTGAGCTCAAAAAACTAATCCAGAGGAGAAATTTTCTAAGAAGAGAGTGGCAGAGGTCCAGATTTCCTGCAGATAAGACATTGCGAAATCAATTAAACCACCAGGTCAGGTCTCTCACACGCCAACATACACAACACGACTGAGCCACCTACCTCTCCTCCCTTTCAGCTGAGAAAAGCTCAGTATGGAAGGCCACTGCCAAATTAAAGAGATACTAGCCTAACATTCCGCCCTTAAACGGCCTATAAGGATTTGCCTACACCGAATTTGAGAAAGATGAGTCGTTAGCAGATCACTATGCTTCTCAGTTTTTTACAAACAAAATATCCCACCTCTCAACAGAACACATGGTCACTCGCACGCTAACACAATACCTTACAAGCCCACGCACAAACATTCCTCTTGTCAAACCATCGGAGGTCTACGGCTATATCGAAACACTCCAGATCAAGAAGAATCCAGGCCTAGATAGAATCTCAAATAAAATTATCAAGAATATGGGCATTCTTATGCTCCTGAAACTGGTTGTTATCATCAACGCCATGTTCCGCATGGGATACTTTCTAACGCCATGGAAAACTGCAGTTATCAGCCCGATACCAAAGCCTGGCAAATTTCCATCAGACCATCTTCATATAGACCAATCAGCCTGCTATCATCACTGAGTAAAGTTTCTGAATATGTTATATTACAGAGAATCCTGAAGTGTACTGAGCAAAATAACATCATCATCCCGGAACAGTATGGGTTCCGGAAAAAACACTCTACGGTGCACCAATTTTGCAGGGTAACAGAAATGATATCCCAAGGGCTTCAAGACCGCCAGATTATACATGCCATCTTTCTCGATGTAGCCAAAGCCTTCGACCCTGTCTGGCTTGAAGGCCTCATGCACAAATTTATCACTCTGTGCTTCCCAGAGTACATCACACATTCATATTTAAAGGATCGACACTTTACCGTTTGTGTGAGCAAATCATTCTCTACTCCACGGATTATCAAGGCTGGAATCTCGTAAGGAAGCCTCCCTGGGCCCGTATACTATAATATATACACAAACGATATACCACAAACACCACACACCACCCTGGCTATGTACGCCGACGACACGGCAATTCTATAAAAAAAAATGCATCTCAAAGTTCAGTCATACAAACATTACAAAATCACATCCATGCATTAGAGTCCTGGCTGACTGATTGGAAAGTAAAAACGAATGTTGAAAAGTCTGAGGCAGTGCTATTCACTAGAAGAAACTTGGATGAAGAAACATGTGTCTTCATGTATGATACCCCCATCCAGTTGACTAAGCAGGCCCGATACCTTGGTGCTACTTTGGATTGGCTACTCACATAGTCCCCACACATTACACATTTTATAGCTAAGTTCCATGTACGTAAACGAACACTTGCCCCTTTAATTGAACGGAACTCTGTTCTATCTATTGATAATAAATTACTCATTTACAAGACCCTTTTGCGTCCCATTCTCACTTGTGCCTGCCCTGTTTGAGGATACACCAGTAAAACTAATCTTACGAAACTGCAAGTTGAACAAAATGTTGTACCCAGGCAAGCGGTGAATTTTCGCTGGTTTATCAGAAACTCGCAATTCACCGTGAGCTTGATAGCCCTGAAATACATATTTATATGGCTAAATTAGAAGAAAAACTTTTCGAAAAAATTCCTTGTTCGAAATTGCACCATTCCAGTACTGTACTATGATTACGAATCCGGTGTTAATCGTAAGAGACCACTAGCGGTCCTTAGGCACCTAGATAACTAAGTTTTGTACAAATATATTTACCATCTAAAATATCATTATTCCTTATGCATAATACTTTAATGTATTGCTTTTCTTATGTACGCCCTTAGTTGTATGTAAATATTAAGTAAATTTCGTGTAACTATAGTGTATATACTCCCACTACTTGTTCATATGCTTGAGTGTGTCAGGACTAATTCTGCAATATAAGGCATTTTATTTTATATCGCTATAATTACCATGTAACCGCTTCTTACTGTTTATTTGCTTGCGCACTTACCTTCGTCTTAGGACTGCGCCGCAGGCGTGTGTCGTTCGGACTCTCTTCACGTGGTTTACCGTGCTATAGACTGTTACCCGAGGACTTTTATTCTGATATTTTTGTTTTCATCTATTCGGAGCATTCAAGGATTCGAAAATCGTCAGACAATTACGCCGGGTTAGCGAACATACGCGGGTACACAATCTGCGAACCTTTTCGAGTTTGCCTGAGCCGACAAGTGAGATTAGTCACAACAACAAGTTTAAATGATGTGCAGAAACAAATGTGTATAATTTAATATTCCGTACAAGTAAGTAATGCGGTGTCCACATCAGAATTTTTTTAATTAATCGAAATGTTTTTATGGTACTGAGAAGTGGGAAGTAACTTCAGCTGCAGAATTAAAAACTGCTATGAAATTAAATTCAGAAAAGTCTAAAGATTGCACATTTGTCATAAAATATATCAAAATTATTTAACTCAAAAATTTACACGAATTTAAAACTCTCTCATTTTGGTTTTTACGTATAAATGAGGGAAAAAATCATCATCAAATGCTTTTATATATATATATATATATATAACAAGCAAGGTAGTTAGTACAATACTGTATGACCAATTTGGTCCAGATAACATTTTGCGCAATATGCTGCAAAATAAGTAAATTAGAAATTGTAGTAAGCTCGCCTAAAAGTTACCAGGAGCTGTGGCTCCAAAACGTTCAACACATTTTAAAAAACAATGTCATTGAAGGGTGAGAAATATGCTACACGAGAAAAGAAAAAAACACAGTAAAATACTTAGCGTTGGAAACTAGTAATGGCAAAAAATACAGTAAAATACCTATGGATGTGCCACTTGAAAAATTAATACATATGAAAATCAAACCAAGTAACAAGTTAAAACATAAACAAAATCAGATAAAAATAGAAAGCGGAAAATGGTAAATTAGCCCAACTCGTACGTCTCAAACTGGCTTTTCAAGGGAAATAATCTGAACTGAACGTATCGAATCAAGGCTAACTACCATTACGCATTTCGCCAAAACAGACAATTGAAGCTTTTTCGTTTAGTGCAAAAAATTTTTTTTGTACAAAAACATGAATATTCCCGAATAAATCTTTTTTTGGAGTCTTCACTGCTCTGTTCCAATTTTTCCCGACGCGTCCGCACGAAAATGACACATTAAGGGTGTTAAAAGTAATTAAAACTTTCCGAGCACATCTAAAATCAAGACATTAAAATTAAAATAAAATAAATAAAATAAATAGTGGTCTGCTATTAGTCCTAAATATACAAAAACATACGGGCTGGGCCTGCAAGCTTAAAGATTTATACTTTTATAGATTTTAGAAATCTGTAATTAAATTTAAATGAAAATGAAAACTAACACAGTGGGTCTTGCTAAGACCAACAAAAAAGTTGTAACAAAAGAAACAGGAAAAACTGACCTGTGGCGATGCAGAGCTCTCCCTCTTAAAACTAAGTTGAAAAGGGGTTGTAATTCCCTTCTGTGTACTTCAGTCGTGTGACGTAAGTAGGGGGGAGCGATGTCCTTTGGGCTTCAGCCAAATACGAAAAGATTGTCCGTTAGCTGTAACTCGTCTCTAATATATGTATAAAAGAACTCACATCGCAGAGAAATATATATGCAATAATTTTACTGTAATATTTTATTTTATTTATTTACTTTGCGGGAAGAGGTAATCAAGTCTTGTTTCAAGATAAACATAAATATTAAAATTCAATTTTGCATACCTTTCTGCTATAATACTCTAAATTGCGCACTTAATATGCAGTACTGAAGACGCTTCCTTTCGCAAATCAATTTCAAACTTTTAATTGATGAATTTAATTTGCAATATGCTGCCCAAATGGGATAGTTGTTGGCGATGCTAATTACCGTACCGAAGAGCCTGGGTTCGGATCCCGGAGAAGGCATGGATGTTTGCAAATGTATAGTTTTTGTGCTGCATGGGGGCACTCTAAATATGCGGTGAGCCGAAAAGTCCTCTCAAGAAGTTGATGGTAGAGGAAAAGGGGTGGAAGACTCTCGAACCCGTCCCCCCCTCGGGGTGCTCTCCATCAAAATTGGGGGCGGAACTGGGCAAAATCGTACTGTTAATTTTTATCGTACCGTTAATTTGTATGTACTGTAATTGGTATGGCTCATACCAACGACAGGCACAATCTTGACCCCTTGCCTATGGTGAATTTCCTGGGCTTGCTCAGATTTCAGAGACATGCTCTGATGTTACTCTCGATCAGGTGGGGTAAGTCATAATAACAACAACTTTTAATACAGAATGCAATATTTGTCCTTCTCATGCCATTATATCGACAGAATAAAGCCGGAATCATAGACCTGCAACATTGCCATTTTGAGAAGTATCTAAAAGCTCGATACACCTTTGGTTTTTGTGATAAAAATATCATTCAGCATTTCTATATATTCTTTTATATATGCATATGTTTCAGAATATGTTCAAAGGATATGTTTCTATAGCTTTTCGCACAATGAAAAAGTTCCCAAAATAACTGGTAAATGCACTTAAAAAAAAGGAAAAAAGTGATTCGTTCCTTTCGTACTAAAAAGCATTATGCAAGAGATATCACTTATTATATTACTCTTTCTAATTAGATTAACTGATAATTATTATGAATCATTCTTTTAATCAATACGAATGATTTCTTCCCGATTCATTTGATATGAAACAGAAACAATATGTTTGAATGTTTTATACTCTTGTATCTTATTTAATTTCAAGCTTTTGCCTGTTGTGCCTACTTCTAAAATTCGTTTATTTATTTTTTTCCCCAGATCATAGGGGATGATGGCAGCGCAGGTGAAATCATTCATATTTTTAATGGCCTTATTACTTCTTCTGTGTACATGTTTCTGTTCTGAATCATCACGTTCGAAACGCCAAAAGAGAGGTATAATGAAAATGATGATGCATATCATGTGGGATCCTGTTCGTTTGATTCGATATTGGTATGCTTATGATGTAACAAAAGAAATCGCAAAAAGCTGGAGAAAAATCATTCCAACCATTATGCTATTACCTATCAGCTCTCATTTGCCAGCATCATCTGGTATCGCAAAATATGTTCATCCTACGACAGGTGTCAAGAATACTGACTATCATAAAGGTATAAAGACATTTCAATATCCTAATGTGCCTCTTGGAGGTGAATCATATTTGGGCCACTCATTTTCAGATCATTACTTCCACAGGATGGTGCAACAATCAGAACAAGACTCAAAACATCTTGCTGCACCACCAAAAAACGTACATGGATTTCACCAGAAACAAATGATCCTATATGGACCACCTACAGTTTACCGAAAGCATGTAAATGGTGGAACAGATGATGATGCTAAAAAATTTATGTATTTATCTTCGGGAGGATATGAGGAGAATAAAAGTGCTGAACAAACAATAATACAGCATGTCCCCCATTCGATTCAAGATGACTCTAGTAATAAGTTACATTTCCCTAAACCTACTAGCAAGAAAAGTCCAATGCGTGATGTTATAATAAAACCTGTACCAATTCCATACGAAGTAGCTGAAAGATTATTTGTAAATCCAATGTCTTCATCAGAAATTAAAGACCACAATGTTGGTTTTCAAAGTAGTGTCGACCATAAGGATACAACAAGCAATCGTTTTAATCACGTTCGGAAGGGAAGTAATGCTAGAGATCAAAATGTTCATTTTGTTGGACATCAAGAGTTTTCTGTTTCAAATTCTGCAAAACAAAATCATTTACAACTATCTTCTGATAGTCTTTCATATGTTATCGATGATCAACATCAGCAACACGATTCGAATGCAGAACAAGAACCACAAGAGGTACATATCATTCTACATCCAATTCCAGTAAGCAATTTTAATCCTATTCACGCCACATACGGTAGTCATATTCCATTTAACATGCACTCAAATCAGTCTGTTGATGAAAATATCCATCACATTCCTATTTTAATAAAAGCAGCAGATGTCCATTTGAATCCCCTTACTTCTCATGAAGAGAGTTCTATATCTATAGAAAATAGAAAAGAGCTGGACACAGCCAATAAGGCTGATACCGTTAACTCTATTATACTTCTAAATAAAAACGGAAGTAACGCTAATACAGAAAATTCAAACACATCTTCAGAAACAGATTCTAAGCATTCACCTCAAGTCACTTGGATATCAATGCAAAATGCAAAGCCTACCAAGTATAAGGATAAGAATTTTGATTTGAATTCAGATGGAACATCCATAAGAATTAGTTCATTGCAAAAAAACGACTACAGTAATAACTATGATCTTCATAATCAGAATCTAAAATTAGAAAATCCCAAATCTCTTCACAGGGTTCCATACCCACTTCAAATAAATGGTCACAATATCGATCTTGAACAGCTGCGAGAAGATCTGAAACACGGAACTCCGGTTCTGATTCCTTTCAATAGAAATGGTTTTACTTCTGACACACAGAAGAAAATCATATCTGATGAAAATCAGACTGAAAAGAGTCAAGAATCCCATTTTAGTGTTGATGCTATAAAATCATCAGAAGGAATTCTGCCAAATGGACAAAAGCCTAGACAAGAAGAAAAAATATTACACAAATTACCTTCTAGTACTGAGCAGTTTAATGGAAGTACTTCATCACAAAAGTTAATGCTGTTTCTTACAAAGAAAAAAATAGATTAAATTATTTCAACACATACTTTGTTAAATATTAAAATACTTATTTATTTATTATCTGGTTTATTTGATTATGGCAAAGAACTTAAGGGGTTATCTGTTTAAGAATGCTTTCATGGAAGACTTTCCAAGGCTATACATGGGAAAAGCCCTGAAAGTGCCCATGCAGCCGGCCCGTTCGCCAGGTCTGGAACACCAGAATGAATTATCAGTGTTTGGCGATTTTAAGGCTTGTCCGCTGGTGGGTCCCATTTATTTATTAGTCTATAATATACGAATGGTGTTTAGCGAAGTTCACATCTAAATAATTAAAAGAGACAATTTTCATCCAAGCTTAAAGTCAGTAGACAAACTTGGTTAGGTCTTTTTCTTTCTCAGATGTCATTCACTCACAGAAGTGAAAGAAATTAGGAGAAATTAAGACAAAGATCTTTTTGAGCAGATTAGATGTCAGTTACGTCACACAAGGGCAAACTTCGTAGCAAAGTAACCTTGTCCATGCTCACGTGTTTGGACTAGGAAATGATTCGTCTTTGGATTATTTTTATTTGCTGTACTAAGACAGACTATACAAATAGCTTTATACAATACTCCAAACATTCAGTACAAACTTGATAGAACCAAAGACAAAAATACAAGCTGAACACAAGGAAACACACACACACAGTGCATTTTTTCTCAGTAATTACTTGCAACATATTACGGCTTAAATAAAGACTATCTTGTCTTAACAAGCTAAATTCGTAAACGACATTTTACTGATTCTTATTAATATGACACTTAGAGAAAGCAATTGAAAACACCTATATTACTATTCTGTCTACTTAGTGTTTTAGCTGTGAAGCTAAAAGCAAAGGAAAATTGATACCTGTAACTTTTGTAAGGAATCTATACCTTTGTCAAAAGCCCACAATCTCATGTTTAAAAATAAAATATTTATTTATTTTTATGCTACTTTTGAAGAAGTTCGAATCGTCTGAAATTTATATATTTTGGTAAATTTAGCATAAGGCTATTCAATATTTTAAGACTAAATCAAGACAAAGCATTTTGTGAAGCAAATTATAACATAATTAAAAATCATATGTCAAAGTAATCATTGGTATGGAGATTTTAGACAACTATTAGTTATTTTAAAAAAAAGCATTTAAATAAATGCATTTAATAAGACCTTTATTTAAACTCGCATGAAACTGTACGCTAGTTATTGTATGAAATCATTCGAGTACATATTTCTATCTCTTAAAAATTACTTAGCAAGTACAACTACATAAGAATTAAACAATTATATATTTTTTTATATTTCCAGTTCATATCATTTTCTTGTTTTGTTTATACAGTACAAAGTCCGAAATCCGGATTGGTCGGAACTTTGGCGATTCCGGATAACAGATCATCAATTTAAATCTGGTAAGATGGCATGCAGAAATTATACAATTAAAATATGAAATCGTAATTTATGAAATAAAGAACAATTATTCTAAGGGGTAACAAATTTACAAAAAAAAAAAAAAAAAAACTTAATATTATTGTTTACTTTATTAAACATTTCTTTCAATGTAAGTTGTTTAAGATGCTTCCACAAAAAATTCAAAAGGTTCCTTTTTCTTGTGTCATATACAGTGGACTTTCCAATGCCATACTCCTCACATAATTTTGAGACGGATATGCCTTTATCCATTTTTTGCAGCAATTCCACTTTTTGTTTAATGGACTTCGAAACACGGTTTCACTTTGTAGATCCTTTGGCAACTCCAGAATTGGAAACTCTTTTCGACACAATCGAAAGTTCAAGCTTAGTTTTTATAAAATTGCCGTAATAATAACAGTCTATAAAAAATAATAAGCTGGATCAAATTAGAAGATCAGGGAGCAGCGCAGTCTGCTACATTAATTGAAATGCCTTAGACTTAGTAAAGATAATTTTAGCCTAGCTTAATAGCATCCGTTATACACTATTGGCTGTATATCACAAGATTGGCAACCAAAGCCAAGTTGTTTCGCTAAATTATGTCTTGCTCCTATTGCATACTGACTTGAGCCTGAATTGTATTAGTTATTTACTATACCTACGTTTATTTCTTGCACATGCTTCAAACGAATCCGAGTCCTGAATAAATAAACTCCCATATATACTTAAGGCTTTATCTAACCCATGGAGGCACTCGGTACTGCCTCTATGGGTCCTAAATTCTGCTACTAAATGCTTTCCTAAGTTCTAAATTTTCACCGTGCTTAAATTTTGGATCCCATTGCTTTCCATAAATCATAAAAACTTCTCATCCCTTAATTTTGCCACTCGGTGCTTCCCCAAATTCCAAAAATTTCGTCTTCCCTAAATTCTGCCGACATATCCTGCTGCCGCTTCTGGGTGAATAACATATCAGCTATTCTTAATTAAAATAGCACTAAATGCAATCTTTCGGCCTATGAGTTTCATTAACAAAATCTATTTTTTAGCATATGAAAAGAACTTTTTGTTGAATTTTTCCTCGTCAACATTTCTTACAGCATTTAAAAATCTATAATCATAGCCAACGTTAGCATATAAGGTTGCTATACTCTTGTTAATCAATTACTAATATAAAAAAAGCTTAGACATCACAGCAGATACTCAGCTACAGAGCCACATTATTAATCTCACAAATTTATGCTTACATGATTGTTTTTCCATAACGAGGTATTTTATTTAGTGCCTAAGTGAAATTAAGAATCGGAATGTGAAAATCTACACATGTTTTATTATGGAAGGAAAAATCAAATGCGCATGTGTAAAGCATTTATAATAAAAAAAGAAATGTTTGTGGCTTTGAGGTCCGGATTTTAGATCATTCCGGACGTCCGGATTTCGGACTTTGTACCGTAATTCCTGCATACATGTAAATTCACCACTTTTTCATTCACAAAAAATACTGATATCAAGCATTTGCTTCCCAGAGTTGTAATTTAAGATATCTTTATTAAACACTGTTCAAACCATTATTCTTCAACCAATGTTATATAATACATGTTATTAGAAAATTACATATTCTTGTTAATAGCATTAATGACATATTTATGAAAATGTGAATGAATGATAAATGATATTAGTTAAAACATAAAGATAGCATTCAGACATATATACATTGTGTTCATAAATGTCTTTATGTGGTTTTATTTTTGCAACTGCTGATTATAGACATATATTTCCAGCTGCAAAAATGTTTTAAAAAAGGAAGACATTCATGCTATTGCATTTTTTAAAAGTTAATTTTGTAAAAATAACTAATCTAACTTTTGTAGCAGGAAAATCTCTCCATATTTCTAGAATTCTAAATGTTTATTGTTGAACTTGTGTTTAGTAAAAAGTGAATGTTCTTATGTTAATGTGATAATAAACTGGAGAATTATACAGACTGGTTTCATTGTTGTTTAGTTAAAATATGCCCCATGTAGTCAATCTGTCCTAAATAAATCCATCAGTAAACATACAGAATATCATCTGGATAAAAATCTTTGTATGTTAAGTCGTCAAAGTTTAAACAGATATTTATCTTCACACAGAATGCAGCTCTAAAATGATCAGTAGCAAGCTAAGATTCAATTGCAGCTTTTCCCCCTCAGTCTGAAAAAGGCCAGAAAATAATCATCAGAAGAAATGGTATTTAGTGGACAACTGAAGATGGTTTTTCTTGAAAGTGTAGACTTACTAAGGAACTGATTAGTTAGCTGTTGATAAAATTAGCATTTAACTTTGTTGTTTTAATCTTTGATAGGTGAATTTCCATCAACTAATTACAAACTATCTTAATGAATCTCATGAAATATTTCTATCATATTTCAGATGAAAAATTTCATAATCTGCTAATATTTTCCAGAATCAAACTATGCAGACATTATCAAAGTTCAAATGTTTCAAAATTAAGTTCCATATTTCACAGAAATATCACCTAACAGATCACATGTACTCGTGGCTATGGACCAACTACTGAGGAAAATAAAATAAGTACGTAAGGAATTATGAATATCCTGATATAGGCTTTAAGTGGATCAAGCTAAAAGTGAAAATGTTAGTACATCCAACTAACAATGGAATATGGTTTGAGTCTTGGTGAACAAGATTTTTCATTTTTCCTATTAACAAAATTAAATCTCTATTAGCACATATGGTTTTTATTTTTCTAATTCATAATAATTGGTTTAAATCCTAAACTACAATGATGGCACTAGACCAAAAAGGTCATCTATGCAATTTGACAAAGATATTAAAGCAGTTCTCAGCCTTGATCACAACAACTTTCCCAGGAGCCAACATTTTCTTCCGGGCTTTATTTGAACTCTAAAATATTACTCAACCTACTACAGGCATGTAATAAAAAGGAATTGATTGATATCATTAAAGCGAGATGGGCCAAGACTGTTGAACAGTATCCAAAAGAGGATTTTGTACATGCTTATACAGATGATTAATCTAAAATCTAATGAGACAATCTCTAATGTAGGTTCTGGAGTATTTTCGACTAACACAAATGATACTACTTATCAACACAAACTTGGTGCTGGAGCCATAGTCTCTAACTTTACTTGAGAGCTTCTGGCAATAGCGGAGGCACTTGACATGTATCCCTTCCACAAAAACTACAGCTAATTTCCCAGCACCATGATATCCATTTACAGTGGATCCTCTCTCTCGTGCGTATCTTTACGACAATAGAATGGCGGACAAATTAGCAAAGGAGGGTTACGGTCTTTTAGCTCTCTCATCTTCCACTCTCACTTATCTGGAACTATACTCTCTGAAAAAATCACAAATCATGGTGGAATGGCTTGCGCTCCCCAACCATCAAAGGTATTTGGCTAGCAAGAATGGCTGAACTCTAAACTCTGGGTGTGACAGGAGCTCCCAGACAGGATATTGCCAGGGGTTACATTAAGTGCCTCTCTTTCAAGAAGGGCATGAAAATCTCACTAGATGCAGAGAATTAAGTCTTACATTAATTTTTACATTTTTTGTGCTGTATCTTGTGGCCACAGTAAAGATAAATGAAAGGCAATAACTCCCTTTAATACGCAGATGTAACCTTTAAGGGTGACCAGTTAGTTACAAATAATTAAATTAGCTAGTTGGATACTTCATCATTATAGATTTATATGGGCACTATTAAATTTATTAAAAAAATATTTGTTAAAAATGCACTTAAAATCCCAATCTATTAACATGTCACAGTTTAAAATACACGCAATTTATGACATTGATTCTGAAATGATATTAAGATAACTACACATTAAAAGTTACAAAACATTTATGTTTTGTTGCAACAATACTCAACAAAATATTTATGCATCTTTTCAATTTGAAGTCTTTCCAGACATTCTGGCTAATTTATATCAATTTCCTTCTCTTTAAGCATCTTTCTAACAATCAGAAATTTGTTCCCTTCTCTTTAAGCATCTTTTCTAACAATTGGAAATTTGTTTCAATATGCAAACCAATATTCCCACTAATTTCTGCATGTTTTATCTCCTAACTTGTCAGTTTCTCAACTATGTACCTATGATGTTTTACTTGATCTGATAAAAGTTAAATAGTTCAAAACCCCTGACAAACGTGAAGCAAATTATCACTATGTCTGAAAGTAACTACAAAGTCAGATAAAGGTTTAAATAAACCTCTCATTTAAAAAGACCTTATAGATAAAGGCATGTTCTCATGCTAGCAAAATAAACTACAGCTTATGCTGATTCAATTAAACAGGAATAGTCACATTCAAACTAAAAATGTAGACTGTAGTCAAAGACTACACAATTTAATTTTAATCTAAGCTGGCTCAGTAACATGCTGTAACAAACTCGTAACTCATTGTAAAGTATTTATCGTGTAACAAATTTAAATATCAGCCACGATAAATACAAAGACAAATAATTACAAATTACCAGAGCTGGTAGGAACTAGTGCAGCATGCAAGTGGATGCCAGAAACAAATTCCGTCTTACAACCCCAAAACCTTAGCTTAAAAACTATCTAAGTAGAAAATTATAGCAAAGGCTGAAATTATAAACAACTGCTTAATTTACATAATAATATCTGTATATATCTTTCTCTTTATGTATTCAGTTTCTTTCTTCAGTATGTTTCCTCTTCCTTTCAGAATTTTTGGATTTAATAAAAGATATCTGTTATTTTAAAAAACTAAATGCATTTAAAATGTATAGGAAAAGGTGCTAATTTTATTTCTTTAGTAATATGAACATTCAGAATAAACATGAAAATATATATGGTAAGGGCCGGTATAAAATTTTTAGAATTTAGTGACACACCAAGCAGCAAAATTTAGCAATGGCAAAATTTTAGAATTTAGTAATACACTAGGTTGCAGAATTTAAGATCCACAGAGATTGCATCAGGTGGGAAAATGCATAGCGCCAGCCTTGTGTATGATGCACAAAGCTGTAGCTAGGGTTTTCAGAACTCAGGGACAACTGTAGATATTGTGCCCCTATCAATTCAAGAAAAATTATCCCTATCAATTCTGTTACAGCAAAAATCCAAAAATATGTTAAAAAACAATCAGAGGGAAAAAGTGTAAAATTAATTTTATAGAGAAAACTGATGTATTTTGAGACAATTACATGGTAAAAACTCTTAGCATGAAAAAATTAAAATGAAGGCCTTTTTACTTAATTAGATATCTATTTTGCTTTTGCTAAAAAGTGTTACGTAAATTGTGCTACAGCGCAATTTAAGCATTTATCACCTCGTTTATTTTTCAGATTAAATATTGTATAAGTCACCAAAATGGAAAGTAATGTCACTTTAAAATATGATAGCAAAAAATAAAAATATTTAATTTTAATGTTATTTCTTAAACACAGTTTCACTATATTAGCATTATTTTAATGAAACCGATCAATGTTGTGATGTTTAAAAAAAAGTATCACCGAAAAATTCCCAGATTTCCGAATAAAAATTTTTCTATAGAAACTAATCTTAAAACCAACAAAATGTTGATAAATAGCCAAATTTGGAACTGTTTAATAAAGAATTCACATTCAAAAAGTGAAAGATTGTTTAAGAGCTCTTTATTAGGAAAAAATGAAATAATTTTGAAATGCATATATTTCACTTCTTGCTCAGAAACTTAAGTATCCCATCATTTATATTAGAAATAGGAACAAATTATAATCCATGAACCTATTCAGCCATTCAAAAGATAACTATATTTATCAATGAATCGTCAAAAATATTTGTCCAAAATGTTAATTCACGTTAAAAATGGCAGTTGTAAAAACGGACAGAAAGTTCAGATGATGAAAATTAAGAACCTCTTGCCGAATCTGGTTGATATTATGGACTTTTAAGAACCAAAAATCGATTCCAAAAAAACCTAAGGACTCTTAATGATCGTACGAACCCTATCTTAAGAGTCAACGGTCTTTTCGACCTTGTATGACTTTGTCAGAATACAGAGGATGCAAAAAGCAGCAACAGATCCCTTCCCATTTCTGAGCAAGCAAAAGGACTTGTTTTTTACTGTGACTCAAAGGCACTTCTACAAGCAATCTTGTATGGAAGCTCCCTGATAATCAAGGGGATCCACTTTCACCTAACAAACTTCAAAAGTTCTGCATTCTTCAGTGGTTGCCAGCACATATCAACATTACACATAATGAGAAATGCCAAAATTCCAACAAAGCACCCGCTCCATAACATCAATGAAGATGATTTATAACTAAAACTTTAGTCACGTTTAGAACTGGCTTTCACAGAAGATTGAAAGTTGACAGAGCGGGTAGGCAAACCTACAGAAGCTGACAAAAACCTACAACATTTTTTAACCTCTGGCCATCCTTCTTGAATTGTTAAAAATTGAGGCCTTGTTTAAGAAACCAAACCTTTATGATGATAGCATTTTGCAGATTGCCAAGGCTGTCATCTTCATCTAGAAAGAACAATAGCAGGTTGTTTATGTCACCACATTACAAAAAACAAGATTATAAGTGAAAACCAGTTTGGATTCTTACCTAACAAGACTACTACAAATGCAATTGACAACACACTGGCTCAAATACAGAAAAAAAAAAAAAAGAGCTCAAGATTTACACTCAACATTACTTTGCCTTGACTTAAAAAAGGCATTCGATTCTATGTGGTGGCTCGCAGTTATACAGGCCCTCAGGGATGCGGAATGCCCAAAAAATATATTCATCATATTACAGAATTTTCTACAAAACAGGAAAAACATAATTATTCATAACAGTAGAATAATTGAAAAGTACCAAGAAAGAGGTTGCACTCAAGGTTCTTGCCTAAGTGCAGATTTATGGAACTTAACTTTCAATTCCATTACCAACTACAATTACAAGAACCAGAAATCTCTTACAGAAAAATACTAACGAAATGCTATGTATCTTCAACTCCCTCTGTAAAAATCTGAAATTTACCATTAGCCAAGAAAAGTCTAAGGCCATTATATTTCCAAAGCCCTCAGAAAAAATTACATACCTGCCTAGATTTGTTATAGAATTCCTTGTCCTAATCATTGAAAGAAATTAAATTGGATTGGACATTTAAAATTCATTAGTAATAAAATCTCCAAAATTGCAAACAACATCCAAAAATTGAAAGAATTAAATTGCGGATTAAATCCATATATTCAAAAAACTATCTTTAATACAGTTATTAAAAAAATTGTGTTATATGGGGCCAACCTCTTACCAAAAGAAAGAAAACACAGCTGCAAGCAATATAATGCCCGTTTTTACTATGCATTACAAGGTGCTACAGAGCAACTTCAAATGCAGCACAGTGTGTTAACAGGAATAGCCCCCTTCCATATAACAGCTTAAATGGAACATACCAAATGCACGATTTTAAGGCTTAAAAGGAACTGTTCTATAAAAGATAGAGACTTCAAATATTTCAATTACGAATCTCCCTGTAACTCATACAGAAGGCATCAGTAAATCCAAAAATCAACTGTATTGCAAAAGATACACAAACTAGAAACTACTACCCAAGCGCATACACAGATGGCTCCAAAATGGGAGAAAGAGTCGGATGTGCATGCATTATTTATATAAATTCTCAAGTTAAAATAATACAAAAAGCTAAACTTTGAAATGAAAATAGTATTTTCCAAGCTGAGTTATCAGCAATAAAAATGGCCCTAGAATATTGTACCGAAAACAAAATTAAAAAAAAATTCAAATATATACAGATAGTCTATCCACGATTCTAGCTATGAAAAATAATAAACATAATTCTCCGATCATTAAAAATATCTATATCTCCATCTCGAATCCCGATATACATCCTACTATTTCAGGGGTTAAACCCCATGTGGAGATTTCTGGAAATGAAGAAGCAGACGAAACGGCAAAATCTGCTATTACTGACACTGACGCAGAATTAAAAAATCCCTCTTGGCCCAAATCTCAGCTAAAACACCAACTTAAATGCTTACGGGAAGTATGGGAAGAAGAATGGAAAAACAGTGATAAAGAGAGAAGACTCTTCCAACTCAAACCTCATATCAATACGGAGAGACTTAGTACGAACCATCTAATCAATTGGTTTATGACAGGACATGGCCCCTTCCCCAAGTACTTTTACGAACAAAACATAGCTCCTTCTGAGCAATATATATGTGGGGAAAGGGGCGACCCCCAACCATTACATCTTCAAATGTCTGTTAACAAAAAACTATCACTTGATACTTTCTGAGACTAACATATATCAGGGCTTGCAAATAGTTTTAAAAATCAAACAACTAAGAAGAAAAATAGAACTCTCAGTTATATTCCTCGCTAGTAGAGGAGTAGAATTGTGCAATACAAGATAAGAAAAAAATAACACACTGGAACTTTCAAAAAATTTTTATTCGAATTGACAAAACTACCTACTTGACAAAATATTGAAGGACAAAATTGACAAAAGTACAGACTAGAATTAACAAAAAGACTAGAGGACCATACAACACCTCTGCATCCAATAAAATAAAAAAAAAAAGTCTAAAATATTCTGAAAAAAAAAATCATATACAAAATAATTTCTGCCTGACCCAGTATATACTCTCTTACATATACAGGCAAAAAAGTACTCTTTCCATTTATGTATATAATCATGCCATATACATGTTCGTAAATGTATTGTTATATGTATGCCATTATGTACCAATATGTTATATATTAAACTTTATGATCTGTATTTATCATTATGTTCTATATTTACCATTATGTATTCGAATATGAAAGGCACCATATGTCACAACTCAATTGTAATCATATGTAAAAAATGTAACTATGTCAAAATTCTTCCAAAAAATTATAATGTTCAATTAAAGAGATAGTGTAGTTGGACAATACCCACATTACCAATGGCTAAACAATGGGTGTTCGCTGCCCTACAACCTGAACCTGTCATCTTTGTTCATGGTATTGAATAGGCTTTCATCAAATCTTAAAACTACCAAGCTCCACCAGGCAGATGAGTTCATTCTACAGTTTGTATAGACCAAGACTATTTTTAAAGTTATTGGTACTCAAAGTGAAACTCCTGCACTAACCAAAAGCTATGCACATTACTAGCACCAGACTTTAACTCATTCACTGTGAAGTCACACCCAAAACAGCCGTTCATTCAGACATCAGCGAGTTGCCTGAACGCCTGCGTCCTTTTTCTACCTGGTGCTTTCTCCCATCATGTTAGTGCATGGCTCATTTTCAGGAGTTGTTAAATTACATGCTAATTATTCTTTTGATGCAACCAAAAGCAGCTCTCTTATTTGAATTTAATTTCCTCCTCCTTTGTTTAGCATCAATGTTTAGCTATTGATGCTCGCAGCTGCTATCCTGTCCTAAGGAAAAACTGTGCACAGTGAATGAAATCACACAAAAGTCCCCAAAAGAAAAGTAATGGCTTCATTCAGTTCGTTATTGTTAACGCTGTCCATTCCAACGAAAACTCGTATATACAGGCATTTTAGAGGTTAAGAGGAACAAACTTTAGCCTCTACTGATGTGAAAGAGTTTATAAAAATGTTGTTGAAATGATGGCAGCCGGCAATCTTCCAATCACAATTTCTGGATACTAATCTTAATTTCCTGAGATCTCCAAACTAACTGTGATAAAGATTAAAATAACTCAAGATATTTTTATCTCCTTAATGCTGAAATAGCAGATTCTTCAGCTATACAGTAAATCTTACATCATATACATCAAAGCACTAATTTATAATAAAATTTAGGATTACACTAACCAGAATATATACCCAGGTTAATTATTAGCAGGTTCCCTACACAGCACACTGCAGGAATATGGTGATGCATGGATTCTATAAGCTTGCAGAAGTATTCTGTAGGCAATGAACACTTATCTTGTGCACAGCAGTCCACAAATCTTGCATTCTGAGATGAAAATTACTCTTGTACTTCTGATCAACTTGCATCAAGACTGCAAATTCATTAATTAATGTGGAGTTCAAAATCTTCTAAATTCACTCATATTCACAGATTAAGTTACTGCAAAATTATTTTGATGAATTAAATATTTCAGATAATAAACTAAATTTTTGATTAGCTTGAAATTAAAGGTATAAGTTTCAGCAGTACTTTGCATTAAAATATTTTTGTCTACCTTCAAGATACAAAGTTTCAGTTCCTATTTGCATTTTTTAATTTTCCAGATTCAAAAATTCAAGTTTCAACCAGAGCCAGCATCCAATACATCTCAGTTTTTTACTGAAACTACAGTTTCAATTGAAGCATATAGCCACACAAAATGATAATCAGTTCTGACATTTTGTTCCACAGTTGAACAGTTATATTAGAGGAATTTGATACTGATGCAGCATTTCTTTTAGCAGTTCATAAAATTGGTATTAACGCTACATAATTAATGAATGCCTTACTCCCTCTCAGGAAGAGTAAAATAAGCATGAATCCTTGAGCAGTTTATGCTGAAATGCAGTCCCTTCAAATGGAACATTTATAGGCTGCAACTATGCGGTTAAAAATGCTTTAACAGATTAGAAGCCAAAATAAATATGCAATTTGGTTTAAATGAAAAGCACTATTCACAGTATTTGCTTTCCTTCTAACACACCTTGCTATCACCACTTACTTTTATTTATTTTATTAGTTCATTTAACATTAAATTTCATTTAAATTTATAAGCACTTTTTCATTTCCACAAATTTTATTCTAATTATTTATCCTTTTATTTCTTATTACTTTACTATTATTACCCTATTATATTTATTCAATGCTTCAGCTGTTTCTTCTTGTCTCTTGCTTTTTTTAATTTTTGAAATTAAGTAAAGAATAATTACCTACTCTGTAATGACTTTAATGCAATGCTGGCAAGTTTTTAGTCAATATTAGACAAAAATAATGTTACTTTTTAGGTTATTTGAATGATGCAGAGCACACAAAGGTTATTTACTACGGGAAAGGATGCATTCATGCAGGACTTTCTATGGGAAACTAGCTCATATTCATGTTACACATGGAGAAAACCATGAAAACTAACCAATCAGCAAGCTCATTTACATGGGTTCGAACTACCAGCATTCAGTGGTCTTAACTACTCAGCCATTGGTAGTCTGCTATTTTTAAAACATAATCAATGAAAAGTTCCTTTTTTTTCTTTCTTTTTTCTACCAGAAAAGGAAAAAAAAAAAAATAAATAAAACCTTAGTTTAGAAGACCAGACATAAAAGCCATGAAATGCAAACCTTGGGATAAAAAAAGGCATGTTTCATAAGTAAAAAACGAGAGGAGTACAAAAGTGATATATAGTACTAAACTAAATATGAAAGTGATAAAGGTGCAAATCTGAAATTAACCTCATGTGTCAGAGACTGTCAGCATAACTTTGCAAGCTTTATATTACTGATTTTTTTACAGCATATATTAAACAAAGAGAATACAACTTTCAAAATATACAGCATTCTATAAATTTCAACACTTTCAAAACAATATTTTCATATTCTATTTATCTTGGGATTTCAAATGTTGTCCAAAAATTACATTATAAAGTGTTACTAAGTTTCTTTTTCTTTTATAGAAGAAATAATAAATACCTTAGAGTTCAATTTTCAATCATTTAAATTACTGCGACATATAAGATGAAATGTGTCTTATAGGCAGCCTTTTTATTATATTCACACAACAAAGAAATTTCATCTATCAGCAGTAAGAACATTTAATTTTAATGAATGTATTATTAGTTGAAAAAATAGAACATTTAACAATGTAATATTTATTTACAAAAAAAGTTTTTTTAAAAAGCCTTAATCTCATGCACTTTTTTCTTAAATTTCTTAACTGCTGGCTGTTTAGTCCTTTTTTCTAATACAACATCTTCCACATCTATAGGATCAATAATTTTGCCCGATTTCGTAACAACTTTAGGTGCTACAAGATTTTGGAAGCTGCTTTGTGGATTCCAAGTATGCCCAATTGGCTGACGAATGTAACTTTCAAACTGATGAATATTTGAAAATGGAAATGGTAAATTGCTGACCTAAATTTAAAAGAGATGCATAGAATTAAAACACAGTTATTTAAAACCATAAAACCTTAAGAGAATAAAAGAACACACACATCTGCTACAAATATCCATTAAAAAACTTAACTAATTGTAAATATGTTTTCTACAGAAAATTATTTTTTATAGCATGCAACTTCCTTAATCATGCTGCCATTGAAATCAATCCTAAAACAATGTTTCCAGAGCATTTTAAGTTTCAATTCAGATGTACAGAATTTCAATTTATCATGATCCACATTACAAATTATGACCTCAATTTATTATGATTTTTTTTTTTTTTTCAGTATAAGCATAATTAAAGAAATAAGGGAAAGAAAAAAGATCTTTATTAATAAATATATTATGAAAACAATTAATAAATATTAGTTAGTTAACAATACAAATAATTAAAAAAACAAATTAACAAAACAAAAGTTCAAAACATTTTTTAACTAACTAAAACAAGACTTAACACTCTGGTAACCACTACCTTATAACACTATAACTCATTCTTAGTTTTTAAAATAAAGTACAACACCAGTAATTCTATACTTATAATGAAAATCCAAGTATAATTACACAAAAAGTACCCCATACATTACTATATACTTTAATAAAATTGATTTCTTCTTTATTAAAGAAAGAATTTCATAACTTGGTGCTCTTGTGACAAATTGTTAAAGTTAACAAACAACACTTCACACAGGAGTTGGAATTTCCTTCTCAAAATTTAAATGAAAAAGTCAATTTATTTTACTTATTCATGCATCATTCTATCTGCTATGCATGACTTATTATTCATATAAACTTCTTTTTTAATGCAAAATTCATATCGTTTCCCTTAACTTACTACAGACAAAAATGACATAAATATCACATCTCCATCTTTATCTTTTGGAATAGATAAAATACTCTGCATCTTTCAAACTTCTTCCAATCAAAAACAGGCATTCTAATTTACCTACTTTGCATACTACCATGTTTACTCACATGATAGCTGCACCCCCATTTTGAAGCAGACAAAATCATCATAAGTGTACAATATTGTGTAGTAGATTTCCCCGCATAAATAGTTGCACCTAGACTTTCATAATAGAAAAAAAGCACGACTATTGCACAAAAAAACATGGTATATTTTTTTAAATCAAAACAAGCTCTATGCTTAAGGTGCTTTTAAAAAAAAAACTCATTTCTTTTGTAATTAGTAAATTTGCAATTTCTAATAAAATAATGTTCACTAACATTTCTGCTAATTCAGCACTGTGTTTTTGTCACTGACACATTTTTGTGTCATTAATAAAATTCTTATGAAGAAATTGTTACATATAAAAAAACACAAAATATTATAAAAAGGCTTTTATGTAATAATTTTACATTCATTTGAAACACACAAAATTTTGTATATTTTAATGTACGAGAATAACTAAGTAGCATATATAATCATATAATAATTTTTATGCAAACATTATGTAATTGCACACACACACTCATTACAGATGGATGAACGTATAGCACAATAAGACATTTGTCAGAACAAAACTAACAAGCACAATTTCACCTCAGCGATTCAGCCAATCAAAGCTTAATCTCATTTTTAAATGAGAAAAAGTTAAGCATAAAATTCTATGTAAGTATTAACTGGGAAAAAAAAAAAAAAAAAAAAAAAAAAAAAGCCATTAAAATACATAATATTACTATACCTGATGCCCAGCTGCCTTTTTGTCTTTATCCTCATTTATTATAACATTTCCAAGAGTATTCTTTTTTGGAGGTGGTTCTGAAGCCTTTATGAAAAACCTACCACAAGGGAGATAAATGCTAAACTTTTTAATAAAATACAAATTCTATGAAGTTTATTGGAAATCTGTTAAAATAAACTCTTTTTATAACAGTCTACTCAATAATTACAAAGCTTTTGTTTCATAATAAACACATGAAAAATCTGATGTTTAACCTCTCTTTTCACCTTCTCATAGAATAAAAAATCTGATGTGGACACCATAGAACTGTCAGAACATCAAAACTTGTATGACCTATTAAATTATATACATTTTTTGCTGTATTTCATTTAAACTTAGTTCCCTAAATTTCACTAGAGATAGAAATATTTCTCATTCAATTAACTCAGTTCTCACTTCACGGCAAGGCAAAATAAAAAAAAAAAAAAATAAATAATAATAAAATAAAAAATAAAAAAAAAACATTTTTATCAGAAATTATAAAACACAGAAGACATAAAACACCCCATACAGTTAAAAACAGTTTAAAAAATTTTTACAATTAAAATTTACAATTAGAGTTTCTATGCAAAAACAAGCAATATGACCAGCAGCAGGAACACAGATTTTTTGGTGCACAAAATTGAAAATTTACTTTTAGTCCCATATGGCGAAAAGGCATTGAATTTGGTGCACAAACTGCCTTAATACACTATTCAACTAAGAGTTTTAAATGTAAACAAATAGCAACTTTGTTAGGCTTAGTATCACTTAAACAACTTTTAAATTGTTGACAATTTTACAACTATCGCATGCACACTAACTAAAGTAGAACACAAGAACAACATAATTCAATCACTTTTAAAGGGAAAAAAAAAAAAAAAAAAAAAGTAAAATTTACTAACTTATGGGAATAAAAAAAACCTCAGCTCAATGAGTGGGCAACAAAGTGGGTATGCAAATAAATTACAATAGATAAATGGATAACTTACCTCAAATGCACATTGTTTAACAACTATATTAAATTTTATAACACCATTTTTAAATAAGTAAATGGAATTCCTATGAGCATGAGCTTCTTAACACAACATTCTGACCTTAAACTCCCTAAACTAAAAACTAAAACTAAAAACATTTAAAACTGACCTAAAGAGTTTTAAGTTCAACAATCTTTTGATCAAACAAATTTTAAAATGTTGCTAACACTTACAAGCATATAAATGATAATTCTGATGCAATAAAAAATTCTACTCTGCTTTCTTAATTATGCAGTTATAAATAATTTTTTCTGTTCTGTTTGCTGTACTGCCATCTTGGAAGAAAATTCGACATTGGCGTCCTTTCTGGTCTTAAATCCAGCCAAACTGTTGACAATTAATATATAATGGATCCTCTCCTGCTTTAATTTGGTAACCCGAGGCATCTCATGTTTAATTCTCTATTGGCGCCATTTTGAACTTCCTTTCGTTGGGGGTAAAATGTAAGTAGAGACTAAAATTACTTTTGACCTTTTTGTAAAAGTTTTAAACTATATTTATGACGAATAATTTCTTTTTTCCTTTGCATTTGCTTTTATTTCAGTTTTCTCTATATTATTCCATTTTTTTATTTTTGGTTTTAAGTATTGTTCTGTATGACGGCTTTATTTAATTTTATTATTTATAGTCTGTCCATGATTCAGGGAATTATCTCATGGTCCAAAAGAAAAGATGAAATTTGAATATATTAAAATGAGATATTAAAGGAAATTTTTTAGGGATTTGTGACATGATGAAAAGTACTTTTCATGAATTGATGGTTATATGGTAGATTCCAATTCCCCTTGAGAAGTTGGGATCTTTCCATGAAATCAGCAATAATTCTTCTGTTCTGCATTTTAATTGAGACTGCTGTATTTTTATTAATTCTAATTAATTATTATTTCCACAATAATGCACATTAACTTTCTAAAAAGTAATTCTTTTTCATTCCCAAATCTTACCACAATAGTACACTTTTGCATTCCAAATTTCACTTTGAATTTCCTAGGATGCAATTTCCTTTAGTTTCTCTACAACTTTATTGGTACGGCCGAATACAACCAAAAAAGATAGGTGCACAACTACATGTTATAGCAGTTCTATATACAAAATTTCAACGTTCTGAGGCTACTCATTTTTCAATTATATGAGATAAACATCACATAAAGAAATATCTTCTGAATCCATTTTGGAAAAGAGTCCTTTATTCTGTCTGTACATACAGAAGTCAAACAAAAACATCCTTCAAATGGATTCAAGAGCTGTTAAAATGGATATTTTTGTTGAAACATGATACCTGAAATTTTTCACAATTACAATACTTCCTTTGCTTCGTACAAGGAAGTAAAAGGGATTTAAAAAAAGCAGCATTGGAAAATTTATTTTTTACATAAGATTGATAATTTAAATAATATTAATAATAATAATAAAAGAGAGAGAAAGAAAAAAGAATACATATCTGGGATATATAAAAGTTTATTTTATCTATAATTCGTAGCTAGCTACTAAATTAGATATCTCTATGTAAAATAAGTGAAGAGATACCATCTGATGTAAATCCAAACAATCTTCAGTCAAGCTCATTTCATAAACAGAATGAAAATGCTGCTTAGAATTAAATGCTTCCTTATGCTACAAACATAAAAAAGAATAGAAGGTGGGAGATAACTTTTTCAAAATAGAATTAGTAAGCACGAATTCATTTCATGGATTTGGTCATGTAGAATTCAAGCAGCTGTTTAAATATTTAAATTATTTAATAAAATGGAAATTAATCGAAAGATCCCGCTCTCGTCGCTGCAAGTAAATCCATTCTGTAAGTAATTTTTGACAGGGGGTCAGCAGAAGGCAATACGAAGATATAATTCTTTTTCAGAAGATAGACATATTCATTTAAATTGGCAATAAAAGTACTAAGTCAATTTGGCAAAAGTTATTTTTAATTACCATTTTATAATATTCTAATCATTAGTCTCTCCCGTATATTTCATACCCCAATAATGACAAACATGTATTAATGACTCTGAAAATACAAAAGCACATCTTGGAAAAACTATTTTTTATTTCTGGATATCTAGCCCATATAATATTACTAAAAAGTACAAATATTAAAGTTTAAAAAAAGACAAAACAATGACCAAAATGACAAGAATATTCTATAAAACAGAATACTAAAATTCAACATCAAAAATCATTTTCATGAATTAATTACATGCTTGGTGACTACATGACTATTCCAAGAAATCAGAGAAATTATATCAGGCAGTCTGATATGACCAAGACGAATAAAGATAACTTCTCCCCAGAGTTTTTATAAAACTATAACACTTGAAGAATATCATTCCTAGCTATGCTACACCAAATGCTGTTTAGAGATAATAGAGTAGTAATTAAAAATATCTTCATTATACGTCATTCTACATCAAAAGCTTTGACTAGACTATCCAATTTTACCATTATAGGTTAATAAAAATGTGATACATGAGATTCAAACCATAATTTGTACTTGAAATATTTGATGAATTAGATATAATGCACATAATTCAAATGAAAAATTTTGGTATTAACAGAAAATCACAAAAAGAGACATAGTAGACAAACACTCATTTATGCTTAACCTTTTAACTGTCATGCCCGAGATTTGTTCAAAAATGTTACGCCCGAGTATTACTTAGGAATGGGTTGGAGTGCATCGTATTGTTATACTCGAATATATATCGGAGACATTATCGGCTCATCTCTTTGTCAACACTGTCAGAAAAAGGTTAATGTCGCTCAAGTCAATAGATGACAGCACTTTATGAAGATTTCAAAGGTTAGAGGTATAAGTTCTTTGTTCAGAGTGCACGGGAGCCTTTTGGCGTCCAGGCAAAGATGGGCTGAAGGAGTGTGTTTCTGAGAGTATTCATGAACTTCCATGGTTAGCCTTCAACCGAAGACTGTTTCTTACTACAGTTGACTAGGGTGGGTGTAGATTGCTATGACAGAAATCCTTTCATCCAACAGCCTTAAAGGATTGTTGGATGAAAGATTTTCCGATCGTAGCGATCTACACCACCAAGAAAAAAAGATATTTTTACTAGACAATATCTGACTCATATTGCTCTATAAAATGTAGTTGGGAAACGTATTACATTTTAGAATTTCGAATCCAAGTTGTAGAAGAGCTTTTACATAAATATGAGAAGCTTCGGACAAAAGTTTTGGCAGACCATCTACAATATATAACCCTGCCCTCTTACTGAACGACATTTATTTCCATATCCTCCTACTTCGAAACATAGCCTACAAGACATGCAAAGTGTGTTGTTTGAAAAGGATAAAAATGGGAAAAGATAAGGAAGGAACACAATTCTGGTGTAGTATTGGAGTTGGTTTGTGCTTGGAAAAGTGTTTTCCATTGTACCACACAAGACTGATTTACAGAACTACTAGGTAATCACTTATTATTTATTTTTTTTTATTTATTTTTTAGAAAAAAATTATTTTTTAATTTTTAGAAAAATGCTCCATAAAAGTGAACTTTACAATGCCATGTTGAGTGGCGCCACTCAGGCAATATGCTGTGGCTACAAAACTTTAAAATTTTACCCATGTACTTCAAATATCAATTTTTAATATTAAGTATATTTTTATTGTACTAAATTTGATTTTCCAATAAAAAATTTGACAATTTGTGTACCCAAATCATCAAAATAACTTGACAGTTAAAAGGTTAAGCCTTGAACTTCCAAATACCAGTTTATTAATTTCCTATTAGCATTAAAATTGGAGTTTTCCCCCTTAACTGCAAATACTTTAAGATTAATAAGCTTTCCAAAGCTTCACTAGAATTTCATTTCAGCAAATTCATCTCTTCATACAGTGGTTTGATTTAAATAAAAATGCAGTTTTTGCTTAATTTCTGCACAAATTTTAAATTTATCCTCAAAAAAGGAAAAGTGAACTTTTTTTTAGTGTTGACAGAAATAAAGACAACTTACCGCTGCCTTTTCCTTTTAGATGGCTTGATGCCTGGGCCACCCCAAGATCCCCATCCTGGTAAGAAGAGATCTATACCTTCAGGTCTATTTGCTTTCTCTGCAGCCTTTTTTTCTTCCCTGTCAGATATCATTTCAATTACCGATAAAGAAATATAGTAAGTATAAAAATGAGATAAAAATGTTGTCAGAAAAATATGAATTGAATGTGTTTTTAATAAATACAGTACAAAATCTGTAATCCAGATATCCATAATCCGGACCTCAAAGCTACAAACTTTATGCGCATGCACGTTTAATGCATAACGGACGGTATAAGCTAGGCTAAGGCTAAAATTATCTAAGGCATTTCAGTTAATGTTGCAGATTGCGCTGTTTCTTAATCTTCTAATTGGATCCGGTTTATTATTTTTTGCAGACTGTTAGAACAATTTTATAAAAATTAAGCTTGAACTTTCAATTATGTCAAACAGAGTTTCCAATTCTGAAGCTGCCAAAGGATCTACAAAGCAAAAGCATGTTTTTGATGGCCATTAAACAAAAAGTGGAATTACTGCAAAAAATGGATAAAGGCCTATCCGCCTCAAAATTATGCGAGAAGTATGGCATTGGAAAGTCCACTATATATGACACAAGGAAAAGGAACTTTTTGAATTTTTTGTGGAAGCATCTTAAACAACTTACATTGAAAGAAATGTTTAATAAAGTAAACAAATATTAACCTTTTTTTTTGTAAATTTTGATACCGTTTAGATCATAATTATTCTTTATTTCATAAACTATGATTTCATATTTTTAATTGTATCATTTCTGCATGCCATCTTACCAGATTTAAATTGATGATCTATAATCCGGAAAAACCCCTAATCCTGAATCGCCCCAACGAGTCCGGATTACGGACTTTGTACTGTATAGGTTTAAATCTTCAGTTGGTATGGTTATTTGTTAGATACTTTTCTCCATTTTGGCAAACAGGAAAAAGTATCTGACAAATGACCATATCTGGTAAAAAAAAAAAAAAAAAGAGGGAGGAAGGTAAACCATGTAAAAAAATTTAAAATTTTTCATATTTATCATTTTTATATATAATCATTAACTTTTATAATTTTGATGCAAATACAGTATATGCACATCACATGATAGATATACATACTAGAGAGACACAATATACAAAAGTATTCAAAAGCTATTTTAAGGGCATGACAAAATACTGCATATATTTTGTTATTCAGAATATTTGCTAATCTTGGAACAAATGATACTTAACCCTCTGAGCGGTATGACCGGCTTTATCTGGTCAAGAGATTTTTGTTACTTGATAAATATTAGCTTGTAACATAAGATATTTTGCTTTCTTACTTTCTTTAATAATGTAAATGTTATCTTAATGAATTTAAGTTTATGAAAATAGAGGCTAAAATAAGTAATTATATAAATTTAGCTAATAAATGCTGCATAAATACACGTCTTCGTGACAGATCCAAAAACCTGAGCCACTCAGATGATTAAGGGGGGAAAACTGTTTACAATTAGAGGATCTGGAGAGAAATTAATCACTGACTGATTATAAAGCACACAGAGAAAGGCAACATTCAGTATATCTGTTTGCATTTTTATTTATAAATTTTGACCTTCATTTAAACTGTTTCCTTCTTTCACAAGCATCTTTGTACATAAGCTAATGCAATTCTGGCAGTGATAGAATATAAAGAACTCAAAAGTAGAATTAATGAAAAACAAACAACCAAATATATTAGCATGCACAAAATGACAGAACAGTTTAAAAATGTTATCGCTGCAAAGAAGGAGAGAGAAAAAATTACAAGAGAGAGTCAAATGAAAATCTTACTTTTTTAACTGATAATTTATAGATTAATTAATTGATTTATGTTAATGATTCTTCAGAAGATATGTGTATTTGCACTAGTAATTGTTTCCCCCTCTCCAGGATATAATACTCCAATATTATTTGTTGCTGACCTGAAAGGACAGTCAGCATAATCTTCCCCGATTGAGTGCAAAATATAATCAACTCCCAATTTACTGGGATAATATAGGGAAAGATATGCATGGTTTATCCAAAGGCAGTAAAAAAGTCAAGATAAATAACTATAATATATGCAAAGAAATATGCTACAAGGCAATTTACCTGTACAGTATTTTCCGGAACTGTGGTTTAATAAAGTTTCAAATCAACTTTCTCGACAAACAAAAATTACACTACAGTAAAAACATGCCAAAAAAAGAAAAGAAAACGTTATCATGCTGACAAATTCATGTAAAAAGTCAGTCAGAACTTTCTGTTCCTTTGCTGAGCTGGCTTAAGATCAATGACCTTATCTTGCATAGTGTCATTTGGTCAGTAAGCAGACTATCTTCTTGTCCTTCCAAGTAGTCCAGAAGGCACTCAACATGATAAAGTAGCTCCATGTGTGACTTTATCATCAGCAGATTGCTCCCCACCTCCCCATTCCTCCCCTTCGCTATCACTTGTTATTTCTCTCCCCCCCCATACAACTAACAATTTGCTCATCAGTGTGGGTTTCAAATAAGGGCAAGTTGCAATCACATTTCAGCCATTCAGAAAGCCATTTCTTCACCAATATGTTCACCACCAGATACACTATTTGCAATCTGAGCAAGATAAGCTGGTAGCACTTCTGTATCTATATCAAAACCTAAAAAACTTTAATGTTTTCTCAAGTCCGATAGAATTTTCCCCTAAGATTTAACTAGCATTGAGGATTTCACTTTCTGCCATGGATCACCACTCTTGTAGGTAATCCAAAAACTTCAGTTTGCATACTATCTAACTGATTTGCATTTTGGTGAGGAAATGGAAAGAAGTTGTAACAAAGGCTGAAATTATAAACAACTGGTCATTTTACATCACAATAACTGTACATATCTTTGAAGAATAAGTATCTCTTTATGTATGTAAGTATACTTTATGCAAATATGTAATAAGTATCTCTTTATGTCTTTCCTCAAAAAGTTTCCACTTCACTCTAGAATTTTTTTATTTAAAGATTTCTGTTATTCTAAAAACTACATTATTTAGAATGTATAAAAGAAGCTGCTAATTTTATTTTATTTTAATAATATAAACACTAAAGGCAAGTCTACACATAGCGATTTTCACAGCCGACTTATCCGAGCGACAATATCTGAGATAGCCTGTCTGTCCACACGGAATGATTTTTTCATTAGTACAGGAATTCACTCAACCAATCACTGTGAAAGGAAGTATTCCCGCCCTTTACAGAGTCATTCTATATATGATTTATAAACAAAACTTACGGTGTTGACAAACAGTCAAAATAATGGACGACTATTTTACTTTAAATTGCTACTACAGCAACACCTATAATTTCGAACTTAGGTATGGCTGCAAAAGGGGGCGGGGAAGAAAACGCATTTGGACCAAAAATTGGGTCAAACGACAAGAAATTCATAGTGGCGTAATACCCTGCTTTGGGAGTAGCATATTGAAGACACGGTGGAATTAGGAAAGTATTTACATATGATGCCGTGTGATTTTGATTTTTTGCTAAATTTAGTTTGCAGCAAAATTTTAAAAAATTTATCCTTTCCCTTTGTGTACTGATTGCGCAGATTACTCCTTTTTTTAAAAAAAATTTCATTTACTGGCTCTCTTATTTATGCACTTAAATAAGAGAAATAATAAAATAACCATGTTTCAGAAAAAATAAGTACGTACTGTTCTTTAACCCTTTGAGGGGCGGTATATAAAACAATTTAAACTGTGGTAAAAATTTTGCATGAACTACAACTTATGGACCCTAAGGACACAAAATTGAGACTTAAAAAAAATCTAGAGCGAAATCCCGAATTTTGAGAGCCGGTATATATTTTATACCGGCGCCCCTCTAGGACATTTTTTTCCAGGTAGCTGCCAACTGTTAATCTTTGTTTTTAAAATTAATTTTGGGTACTTTTGATGTGCGTCTGTAGTGGTGAGTGCTTGAATATAGTTATGTAAGTCTAAAGACAATTTTCTTAAAAAAAATTTGGCAGAAATTAGAATTTTCAAAAATAAATTTATGTTTTTTTTATGCACTTTGATGACGCAATCCAGCTGAACATACTTATGTAAAAATATGGGTAAAATGCTTTTCACTTGATTTAAATTCAAATTATTTTATAAAAAATTTTAGCAAATATAACACTGCAGTGTAAATCGTATCATGCTGTAACTCTGAACTAGTATAATATTACAAGCAGATGTAACTCAGCCGAAAATTAAAAAAAAATTGAAAAATGAAGCACTACGGCCGACTCAGCTGAGAAAGTATGTTGCATTTTTGAAGTTGTATTTTATACTTTAGATAATATGTGAAAAAACAACCATGCTTCATACTATGATACGAAGAATCGTCCCCCCCCCTCGACGCACACACACTTAAGATCATCAAGGACCATAAGGGTTTCTTTTTTAATTTTTGTAAATATAGGTTGTAATGTATCTTTTTGTTCAGGAAGAAACGCCGTTAAACAATTTTATTATTTGATACACCTCAAAGCTCTTATTCTGATTTTCAACCCCTTTGGCTTCATAGCGGCTCCTTTTCAACTTTTGGATAAATTTTAGTTTGCATCTAAAAACGGGCCTTAGAAATATTTTCCTTCTTTCAACAACTGTCAAATTTATTTCAGAAAACAACCTATTTGTATCCTAACCCAGAAACGCAAGATTTCTCCTTGTGTTCTCCTAGTCTTTCATCTGAAATTAACAAAGATTTCCCTAAAGAATAAAAGCATGCTTTCAAACAAATCAGCAGTTTTTGTGATTGCACTATGAGATAATGACCTTAAGTGCATTTCCATTTCCCGTATTTTTAAGTGAGCTTTCCCTTTGTGTGATCTTATCACACCTCACAAAGGGAAGAAGGCGCACGACTCCCGAATGACAAATTAGTTGTCAGTCACCTCACCTCTTTTCATTTTCACTTGCATTCTAGGATTTTGGAAAGCACGAAGCAACGGGTGTCTTTTGGGGGCTAACATGCCACATTTAACCCCCATAATTGTGTAAAGTTTTGATCCCCAGATGGCAATTTTGAAATCGATGAGTCTTTTCTCTTGGGAAAGGAAGGATA